AAGACATGTGGAAAAACAGTTGCATATCATTTGACTAGATTATTTTACCTAGTCTTTTAAAGATATTGCCTACAAAAATGCCATTTAAAATTGCAAAAAAAAAAAAAAAGTTTAAACCTCATCACTGTACCAGGAATGTCTTTTATTTTTAATGTTAACCTTGGTAGTTAATTTTGAATTGTCCATTTGTCCATTCAACCAACATATAGTAACATCTACTATGTATGTAGCACTGGGCTTAGCTCTAGGGCTACAAAAATGACCAGACATCTCCACTGTCCTTTTTAGAGCCTACATTCTAGTTGAGGAAAGAAAGTATATAGGAATACAAATAAACAAGTTACAGATTGTGGTAAGCAAAGAGGGAACTAAACAGGGTTCTCTTAGAGAAAATAACTGGGGTGGGGCTACTTTAAATATAGCAACTGGAGAAGACCTCTCTGATGAAGTGATGTTTCAGCTGAGATGACAAGTATGGGAAAGAGGTAGCCAAGGTGAAGGGCTGACAGAATTGTATTCCAGGTACAGGGGAAGGAGATTTGAGAATTTGGTGTGTGAAAAGGTATGTGGTATGTTATTCTAGAATGTGGCAGGGGGCCAATATCACCAGTGTTTTTTGACAGAGAGGGAAAATCAGGTATGGTCTTAGAGGCCCTGCTAAAGAATTGTGTTTACATTCACAGTGCAATGAGAAACCATTCAAGGACTTAAGCAGGGAAGTAAAATTAAGTAATTAAATTTTTAAAAGATCACTTTGATTTATCAGTACAAAACAAATTGTAGAAAGCAACAGTGAAAGCAGCAAGACAAGTAAGAGTCTGTTGAATTGACAGACAAGAGATGCTGGTGATTAGGACAAGGATGGTGTCAGTGGAAACCGAGAGAAGGCTCCCACAAAATTCATGTACTGAAGCCTTCAATTACCTCCTCACATATGGCCTGTGAGGAGGGAATTGAAGATAAATGAGGTCATAAGGGTGGGGTCCTAATTTAACAGGACTGATATCCTTACAAGAAGAGAAAGAAAAACCAGTGTGCTCTCTCCATGATGGAAGGACACAGCAAAAAGATAGTCATCTACAAGTCAGGAAGAACACCTTTATGAGGAACTGACCATGCTGGCACCTTGGTCTTTAACTTCCCAGCCCCTAGAACCGCGAGAAAGAGATCTGTTGTTTAAGCCTCCCAGGATTTTGTTATGGCAGCCCAAGCAAATGAAGACAGATGGCCATATGGAGAATTATTTTACAGATAGCACTACTAGGATTTAATAATGGATTGCATATGCATATAGGTGATGAAAGAAATAAGTCAATGATATGTTCTAGTTTTATTTATTTATTTTACTTATGTATTTATTGGTTTGACTATCTGGGTGAATATTGGCACCATATACTATCAATTGGAAAAAAAAAAAAATTAGAAAAATATAAGACCTGGCTGACAGAACAGGGCTGAATCAACAAACCAAGTTTGAACATTTCTGTTTGTATGTTTCTGGGACATACAAGAGGAGGTATCAATTAGATGTATGGATACACAAGTCTGGATCCCAGAAAAGAGGTCTGGGCTGAGATAAAAATGTTGAGATTGTTAGCATGCAGGTCCTATGTAAATTAATAGTAACAAATGAGACCACCCATTAAATATATAAAGAAAGATGACGGCCAGCATTGAAATATAAATTTAAAGTAAAAATGGATAAACATATAAGAAGAGGAAAATCAGGAGACTCCAAGAAAAGAGTCAACAAGATCATAAATGCATCAAGGGATATTTGTTATTTTGACCAGAGGAGTTGTGAGGAGCTTCACAAATAAACAGCAATTTTTACAGTAGGTCAAAAACAAATGAAAATTGAGGAAAGGAAAGAACATGTATCACTAAATATATCATATGATTTATATAAATATATATTTATATCATATATTTATAATACATATTATATATTATAATATATAAATGTAATATATAAGTTATATTTATATATTTATGTATTTTATATACATATATTAATATTTTGTTGTTGTTGTAGTTGAGACGGAGTCTCACTCTGTCGCCCAGGCTAGAGTGCAGTGGCGCAATCTCGGCTCCCTGCAAGCACCGCCTCCTGGGTTCATGACATTCTCCTGCCTCAGCCTCCCAAGTAGCTGGGACTACAGGCGCCCACCACCGCACCCGGCTAATTTTTTTGTATTTTTGGTAGAGACGGGGTTTCACTGTGTTAGCCAGGACGGTCTCGATCTCCTAACCTCATGATCCGCCCACCTTGACCTCCCAAAATGCAGGGACTACAGGCGTGAGCCACTGCGCCTGGCCACTAAAATATATTTTTACCATATTAGTGATACATGTTCTTTAGGAACATGGCACCATCTCTCTCTGTTTCCACTGCCACCATCCTTGTCCTAATCCCCAGCATCTCTTGTCTGTCAACTCAATAGAATCTTAATTGTCTTTCTGCTTTCACTGTTGTTTGCTAAGAACACGTATCACTAATACACTAAAATTACATAATTCATAATTATACCATGACAAAAATATAAAATATATATTAGATATATTTATATATATATTTTATATTATATATAAAATATAAAGCGTAGATTAAGTATATATTTTATATTATTTAATGGTAAAAGGAAACAATGAGATATCTAGGATATAGATATTAAGCAATTGACTTTTTGTTGTGTTCTATAAATATTTGAAGCTATTTGAAAGATAGATGACTTTAGAGGGTATTATGCAAAGATAGGCATAATCTAGTAATGAGAAACATGATTAATATTTCAGGAGAAAAGCAAGGGGAATGACTAAAGATACAAGGGATATAATGGGGGGCTGAAAAAGAAGTATTGATTTATCTTTGATATGATAGGGATTAACTGCCTCCATTTTAACAGGAAGGAAGAATGTAAAAATATGCATAATGACAAGAAGGTTCATATATTTCATGAAGCTAGAAAGATGAAGTTATCGGCCGGGCGCGGTGGCTCAAGCCTGTAATCCCAGCACTTTGGGAGGCCGAGACGGGCGGATCACGAGGTCAGGAGATCGAGACCATCCTGGCTAACACGGTGAAACCCCGTCTCTACTAAAAATACAAAAAACTAGCCGGGCGAGGTGGCGGGCGCCTGTAGTCCCAGCTACTCCGGAGGCTGAGGCAGGAGAATGGCGTAAACCCGGGAGGCGGAGCTTGCAGTGAGCTGAGATCCGGCCACTGCAGTCCAGCCCGGGCTACAGAGCAAGACTCCGTCTCAAAAAAAAAAAAAAAAAAAAGAAAGATGAAGTTATCAATCAATGAAATACTTTGATTATTTAAGAATGATCTTCCGTGTCTTTTAAGGGGGAGGAAGGTTTCTATTCTTCACTCATATTCATCTGTACTTCAGTGTTTGTTGGACCTATTTTTCTGCTAGCATCACACTGTTTAAAAATTATAAAATAAAAAAGAAGAGATTTACATGAAATGCACAAACCATTATTGATTATTATGACTTATTATTTATCATCTTTTATCTTCTGATAAAAAAGTGAATGTCTCTTACTGCTACCCAAGTCCAATAGCAGCTCTCTTCTAAGCTAAATGTTATCTGAAGGGCCAGGTAGAAGGATATTTTTCTTTTTTCTTTCTTTCTCTATCTTTTCTTTTCTTTTCTTTCTTTCTTTTTTTTTTTTTTTTATTTGAGATAGAGTTTTGTTCTTGTCACCCAGGCTGGAGTGCAATGGCACATGATCTTGGCTCACTGCAACCTCTGCCTCCTGAGTTCAAGCGATTCTCTTGCCTCAGCTTCCTGAGTAGCTGGGATTACAGGTGTGTGCCACCACATCCGGCTAATTTTTGTATTTTTAGTAGAGACAGGGTTTTCCCATGTTGGCCAGGCTGGTCTTAAACTCCTGACCTCACGTGATCCACCCACCTCAGCCTCCCAAAGTGGTGGGATTACAGGTGTGAACCACCGCACCTGGCCAGAAATGGCCAGAAAGATATTTTTCTTTCAAAAAGAGTCACTCTACTTAAATCATATGTATCAAATAAAAACAATGTTAGTTACAATATAAAACCATGTCTTCCAAATTTTGTAGAGCAGTAACTATGACTTCTATTTATTGTGACAAGAAAACATGTAGCATATATATAAGAAATATATATATACACACACACTTATATGTATAGTACTGTGTGTGTAAACACATATATAGAGAGAAACAGTAATAGTTATGGCTATACAATGTAATTTCATAGAAATAAGTATTTTACGGATAGTTTACATAATACTTAGCCTCAAATACACAGTGAATTCTAGGATACTAAGAAATATATGGTATATTTTCTAAGAATTTATAGTTTTAAAGGAGTGATAAGGAAGTGAATAATTGTGTTCAATCCTTCAGTAAAAAATGCTTAAAATACAAAAGGTACACATTACTAAATCTCCCCCCAGAGCTTTCTAGAAGAAATGATCTTGGTGAAGATGAGTTTTGAAGGATATGTAGATGCTGAGCACCTATAAAGGTGTCCTAACACATCTTAATAATAAATCCAAAGCCTGAAGATGCAAGGTATATGAACAGCTTAGAATGAACGGTCATTTATAATTCCAGGTGGATAGAGAATAACTGATTTTTCTCCAAATCAAATTTAGTTTTTGACAACAGCATACAACATGTACAAATTCATTAATAGCAGATTTGAGTAACAAATCTACTAACTAGCAATTAGGTTAACTACTAGAAACTAGAAATTAGGTATTCTAATAAAGAGATATGAATTAATTATATCTTACCTCCATAATTCCAATGCTTCAACTATTTTAATATATCAAGATCTTCCAAATTCGCATCCTTTGCCAAAAGTAAGTATAGTGTACTAGTTCTGAATTTTGCGTCACGTATTTGCTTGAAACATGTAAGATCTGAAGATTTGGCCTAAGTTTCAGTTGCTTCATCTCATACAATATTATTGCATTATTTACAATGATTGTTCATTTTCCCAGATTTGGCAATGTGGAGGCTCCTTGGAGATTGTTACTTGCTCCCATGTTGGTCATGTTTTTCGGAAGGCGACTCCATACACTTTTCCTGGTGGCACTGGTCATGTCATCAACAAGAACAACAGGAGACTGGCAGAAGTTTGGATGGATGAATTTAAAGATTTCTTCTACATCATATCCCCAGGTACACAATTCTGACATTTTTCTTTCCCTACAGGAGAAAATAAAATTGAAACATACTGAACATGTGTTTCATTATTGCTGTTATTCTACTAGTTAAAATATTGTTTATTACCATAATATTGCAGAAAAGTGTATATGAGACAATTGTACTATGAAGTAAATTTTGATGTAAAATAAGAACTATATTTCAAACACCTAAATACTATCATTTTTGTCTCAACCTGAGTATGTTGGAAAAATGGAGCAAGCTGTACAGAGAGATCTGTATTTATTATTAACTCAAATTAAGAATATTTTAAAAAATATCTTAGTAGGGGAAGGTTAAATGACTTCATACAGAAACAAGATAGAAAATTAGGCAGATATTCAAATTTATATTTCTGAAGAACATAGTAAATTATTCATCAATAAATATGTGTGGAAAATAATATAAGACTAAAATGTTTTCATACTTTAGTTACAGAGAAGTATATGTATTGAAATAGAAGTAAATATAGGCTATCAGTGGGTGGTAAGATTATGAGTAATTCTTTTCATTATATTTTTATATATTTTCTAAATTCTCTCAATATTCATACATTACTTATTTTAAGAATTGAAAGTCATTAAAAAGGAAAAAATGAGAAAATCCTATTACTGGGTGGTAGGATTATTAGTAATTACATTCTTTATAGTTTTCTAGATATCTGCAATAGCCACATTACAAAAAGAAAAAGAAAAAAAAAAGCTGAAGCATTTAAAAAGGGAGAAGAATAAGGATACAGATGGACTCAGTTTTTGTATAGGCCTTATGGTCATTAGCATCATTATTGTCATTATTATGTAACCCATAAGGACAACAACAAAAATCCAGGCCTGCATACTCTTTCTGTAATATAATCTATTTGCTGGCTTAGAAAAGCCTATTTGATTTTAATTGGCATGCTCTGATTTTTGAAGGTATATTTAAGTGTCAATGAAAAGAGTCAAACTCTGTAAAACATTTAGAGCTTTATTCTGAACCAAATTTGAGTGAACCTGGCCCAAGGCACAGTGTCAAGAGTTCCAGAGAACATGTGCCCAAGATGGTTGGGTTTTGGGTTATAGGTTGATGTTATACATTTTAGAGAGACTAAGACACATCGGTGAATGCATATGAGGGATATATTGGTTTGGCCAAGTTATTATCTAAAGACCTAGAATCAATGGTAGAGTGACTGGGTTAAGATAGGAGGTTGTGGAAACCAAGGTTCTTATTATGCAGATGAAGTATCAGAGGTGGCCACCTTAGAGGCAATAGTTGGCAAGTGTTTCCTATTCAAACCTTTAAAAGGTAGCTAAACTCTCAGTTAATTTCCTCAGGTTTGGGAGGGACTGGAAGGGGAAAGGTCTAGATGCAGATTTTCCCCCACAAAAGATGTCTTTGCAGGGTCATTTCAAAACATGGCAAAAAAATATATACTTTGGAGTTCCTTCTTTATCTGTCATGTTTTTATGCCAGAATCAGATTGGCAATGAAGCGGCTACCTTGTCTGGGGTAAATACTAGGGGTTTGTCCCCTCATGTCAAGAAAATTTAGGACAGGGACACGCAGGAGGAGTTTAGGAGCAGAGGTTAAATAGGCAGAAGAGAGAGAAAGGAGGACAGCCCTCTCTCTCTGAGAAAGAGGACTTCCGAAAGGGAAAGACCACCAGAGTCGGATGCACGGGATTTTATAGGCAGCCTTGAGGAGGCTGATTTACTAGGGCCCACAGAATAGTTCCATCAGGTGTGCCCTTTACACCGGGTGCGGCAAGGCTGGTCACCCCACCCTAATCTTATTATGCAAATGGACTTTCCACTCCACTGGCGCCATCTTGTCTGCTCCTTACTGTACATGTGGCTGCCAAAGAGAAAAGGGAAGATGGAGTCACTGTTTTGAACATGATTGGCCCAGCTGTGGGCATCTATATCTGCAGTTCAATTTTACAGACTGCTCTTTGTTAGAAAATGATTTTGGGGGGCTGCTTTTCATTAAAAAGGAAAACCTTACTGAGAACTCCTGTACCCTCACTGTCTGCCTCAGTAATTTCGTCTTAACTCCTGTATCAGCGACTAAACCACATTACACAGGATTAAATAAACCCATCTGATGAGATTGTATGGTCTATAGGGCGTGATAGGAACTTGGACGAGAGAGGAAAAGGTCCAAGTTTAGTCCTCATAAGGAAATTCAAACTTTTTTTTTTTTTTGAGACGGAGCCTCACTCTGTTGCCCAGGCTGGAGTGCAGTGGCATGATCTCAGCTCACTGCAACCTCTGCCTCCTGGTTCAAGTGATTCTCCTGCCTCAGCCTCTCCAGTAGTTGGGACTACAGGCGGCCGCCACCATGCCTGGCTAATTTTTGTATTTTTAGTAGAGACGGCGTTTCACCATGTTGGCCAGGCTGGTCACGAACTCCTGACCTCCAGTGCTCTGCCCCTCAGCCTCCCAAAGTGCTGTGATTACTGGCTTGATCCACCGCACCGGCCAAAACTTTTTTATATACAAGTACCTAGAAGAGAAGGAGCGGAAGGAGCAGTATGAAGTTTCTGATTAAGATCCAGCATTCCTATATAGAGAAGAAGAATGAGGGCATTGTATGTTTAAGTGTGTGATTAGGAAAAGGACTTTTTCACACATTTTCAAGCCTCTTCTATGTTAAAAAGCTATTACCAGGAACACCATTTCATGCATAGATGTATTTCTCTTTACAGTAGAAATCTAGTCCAGATGTTCAGAGTCGAATTCAGCAAGAGCGTGTAATATTCACAGCAAGGCAGTGACATTTATGTAACCTTTTCATTTTCTTTTGATGATACTTTTTGAATTCAAATCATTACTTGTAGAAATATATAAGTTCAAATATGAATAAAGGAGTAATGGAGGGAAAAAGTGTGTTATGTGTGATTGCATGCAACATACACTCAGGAATATGAGTAATTGAGAATAATTGTAATCACGTGTATTATATTCGTCCATGATGAATATTTGTGAAAAGTACTGTGCTAGTCTTTTCTATAATTTTCCACTGAATGAAAAAGGCAGATAAATGATAGAACCATCTCTCAAACTGTAATGAAATGACTAACTTTAGAATGTAAAGGGTGGAAAAAAATGCCTGCTATCTGGAACTAATGACTTTATGTTGCACAATAGGGACTGCTTGTATATCCTGGAAAGTGCAGATTTTACATTACAATAAATATTATTTGGGGTTATAGTTCTTATAAAATGGATTTTTTTTTAACTCTAGAAAAGTAGTTTGGGAGGCAGAACAAGGACTTTTGGGGAATGTGTTGAAGATATCTAAGAACTTCTAAAAGGCATTTACGCTTACATGTGTCTCAGAGACAGTCAGTGCAGCTAAGCAATGGTAGAATCTACCAGCAATAGTGTGGGGCAGAGGGAGGAAACCCCAAACCTGAAACATCAAACAATGAATTGCTTCTCCCTGAAAAAGGAAGAATGGACGCAGGCTGGAAACTAGAGCTGGATGTCTAAAACAATTTGAGCCCTGAGAGGATTTCAGATCATCCAAAAACAAATAAAACAGGTTGTATTCAGGAAGTCAGAAATCTATTATTTTTTTGATAACAATTTCAGCCATCGTTAATTTAGGCTAAGAGAGCGGTGGTCATTTTAATTTAAAATCAAAATCATACACTTCTTTGCTATCCTCTGGAATGTTTTATTTTCTATTTTTCATCCCTTGGGGAATGGGTGAGTTTGTGAAGAGAGAATCTGGTGTATGTGTTCAGGAAGAAGGGGTGGGAACTACATGCATTCGCATCCACAGTTAGAACTATGTCCTTTACTATAATACACATGCATGCATACACACACACACACACACACACACACACGTATGAAAAACTGTAAAGAGTTTATGAGTTTATATTGAGCTTCCCGGAACTTCCTTAACATGGTGAAATAAATAATACTTGTTCTTTCTAGAAATTCCTTTATATAATTGTTAATTTTTCCAATAAGTTTTGTGAGATTTCCGCTTTTTACATGTGGGCTTCTACTCTGAAATTGTATTCTTCACTTAGGCAGTTTCTCAAACTTCAGTCTAAGTGCTGAGACTTTATAACTTTAATTCTGACAATAACTTACTTCCAATATACTCTATAAAATCTCACCTGCCTACTTTATTGGTTGGCTTCAGGAATGTTTCAGCTCTATCTGTGTTGAACTATCTGGGTATTCTTTCTCTTTGTATTCCCTGAAGTTTGATAACATGGGCAAACCATCATCACCTCTTACCATATTGTTTTAATTTTTATTACTTGTCTCTATATCCAAAGTAGTTCAGAGACAACTATTTACAGTGCCTAGCAACTTTCCTGTCATTTTGTTTAAAAAAAATTTGTTGAATAACTAGAAGAATGAATGAATGAATAACTTTTAAAAGAGAGCCACTTTTGTTTCTTTCTTTCTGCTGAATGATCCGTGGCTGTCTGGTTTATACCAGGGAAACTCTTCACAAGAATTGTGACAAGCCTTTATCCCACCTCTCTGATCCAGCCCTGGATAAGGACCCACTGTTAAAAAAGAGGTGAAGGGCCTTCCTCATAAATCTCTTTTATTCTTATTATTATACTTTAAGCTCTGGGATACATGTGCAGAACGTGCAGGTTTGCATAGGTATACACGTGCCATGGTGGTCTGCTGCACTCATCAACCTGTCATCTACATTAGGCGTTTCTCCTAACGCTATCCCTCCCCTAGCCCCCAACCCCCCAACAGGCCCTGGTGTGTGATGTTCCCCTCCCCGTGTCCGGGGATTCTCATTGTTCCCCATGTATTCTCATTGTTCACCTCCCACTCATGAGTGAGAACATGCAGTGTTTGGTTTTCTGTCCGTGTGTTATATCATTCTGTAACCACACAGCAGGTTCTCCTTGCCCATTGCCCAGACAGAGCTGATTTATCAAGACAGGGGAATTGCAATAGATAAACAGTTTAAGCCACATAAAGCTGGCTGTACAGAAGACCAGA